TATTTTGTGTGTGAGATTTTGAAATGGCAGAAGAATTGGATACACTTTGAGAAAATTTATTGGTTCAAAGAGAATGGAGAGAAATGTAATAAGTATATGCAGGTGTTGTGAATTACTTAGATGTTAATATTTATTATGAAGTGCAAAGGGAAGAGCTACAGACTTCAAAAAAGGTGAAAGAGGCAAAGCTGCAGTGAACGAGTATTGTGAGAAAGGATGGTTTAAGGTGATCATGATAGAGGGAAAAGGCTTGTTTGCTCAGTTGCTCATAGCCTGAAAAATTCAGTTAGGGCAGTGGAACACTTCTTAAGTGCAGCTAGCCTTTTGATTAGTAAATATGATGTAGAAGGAACATTTAATACTACAAGAGGAACTACTGCTGGCTGTGCAGTTACACAGAATATGTATATTTACATGTTTTTCATTAATCATATATTGTGAAGTTTGTTGAACTAGAAAGTAAATGACTGTATTGGAGGAATACACACACACAAAATTGGATTTGGTCTTGTTTCCTCAATAGAGATTGACAGTGTCTTTTAGCATCATCCAGCCATCCTTGTGGCCATATAAAACCAGATCTCACTACTCTTATTTTGATGCAGTGAGGGTTAGATTACATTTTAAGTTGCTAAATTTAATAATTGTTGTGTTGTTAATGACGACTTATTCTGGACTATCTCCAGAGGTATCTCTACAGTGTCACAAGCATTTTTTCCTTATGTGAGGCAAGACACTTCTTAAAAAAAATAATTTCTGCCTACTCAATGCAGTTTCTTCTGCCTCTGTAAAGCTGAGAAGGGCCATGGAATATGTGTAAAAGTGTCAACAAGTATCTTTTTGCACACAGTGAGCATTTCCACTGGAGCAAAGGCATCATTGAACACAATATTCTAATTTTGAACCTAGTTCTCCCAGTCTCCTTCTATCTAACAGCTTCTGAAACCTTTCTTGGTGAAGAAATGAATTATTCAGTACATCTTGGGACACCAATACATCTCTTTTATTTCAACAGAGTATTACAAACAATTTACCTATGGTTGAATTGTTTTATTGTCAGATTTTTTTTTATAAAGCCACTATTCTGAATTGCTAAATCTTGCTCTATTGATATCCTCTCATAGTAATGGGGAAAGAATAATGAATTCTGAGCCACATCGCTCTTAAAGAAATAAAACACTTTTTTACTTAAGATCTCTCCTAAAGCTGGATTATAAAGCTGAATCAAACTTTTGAGTTCCAACACTGGGTGATCAGGTACTTCAAGACAGAACATAAGCAAAAAAGGATTTCTTGTATGTTTCCATTGTTTCAATTTCAAAAGACATCCTCTATCTAAATAGGGAGGTTTCACTTAGCTGTTTGAGCTGTTGGTATGTCTGTCCTTGATTAATTTTCAACAAGCATTTTTCACACCGGCCATCAATCTAGTGTCACAAATCCAGTTGTTAGCAATGTTCTTTTACTCTGCACTGTTTGTTATTTAACATCAAACACAATCTGATTTGTTTTCAGTATAGTTTTCCTTCCTGTGACTAAATGTAAGAGATTAAAGTTTTAAATCATTGTAGAATGTTTTGTGTGGGATGTGTGTGTTTCAAATCAGTTTGTTTCTTCACATATTGAATAGTCTTCTCTGTTTCCTGTTATCACCTCTTAAAGTGTGTTTCTTAAGTGTCTTCTCAACACTCAATCTGTTCCAGAATAGGCTGATAGTATTAAATTCAGGCTACTTGCTTGAAAATCTGCAAGTTTGCTCTGTGAGTCAACTGCTTGGTCTGGTTGACTCATCCTGGAGTTATGAGAAGAACTGCTATTGTAGCACAAATGTTCATGATTCTGATTAGTGGGACCAGACACAGAAACATTTTAGAATAACAAACTTTTATAACTGAAAATGTTTTACAGTGATGCTTCAGAACTATTTCCTGTATGTAAATGCAGGAATACCCCTCAAAACATGGTAAGTGTTTTTAGATGAATTCTTCACAAAATGGAATTAACAGTTTAAAAAAAAAAACTTTCAAAAGCATCCCAATAAATCTTTTACTAGGGAGAATGCACGCTGATAGAGATGGAAAAATCCAAGCTACCTAGGTGCCCAGCAAACTAATACTTGCCTAGTAATTTGAAATACTGTTTTACTCTGCGTAAGTTGTATATGTTGTGCAGCACGAGTCATAATAGGTATTTTGCATGCTAATAGGTACTGGTACAAAAATTGTTTTACACTAATGTGATTTCCTTATGTTAATGAGTGACTTAAAGCAATGTTCAGAACTTTTAAATGAAAATTAAAGCCTCCATCAAAAACTAAAATCTCTATGGAGCTGAGCTCAAATCTTGGACACAACCATGACTTTTTCTCAGCAATAATATGGAAGTGGTTTGTCAGCCTTCTAGATTGTTTTTCAACTTCCTAACCTAGTCTTCAGCCTTGGGATGTCCTGAAGAATCTCTAACCCTAATCCTAACTGAATCCCACTCTGTTTAGTTTCCAAGCTTAGTCCAAAATCAACAAGTTGCTGCGCTGAGATGGAAGTATCCATCCAAGAAATTCATATAAGCTTTGCTGCATCCCTTTCTCTTCCCTTTAAATCAGGAAACCTTCTACACTTTCAGCCAAAAAGGTTTCCCATCCAGTTTCTGGTGCTTGAAGAATCAAGTATTTCTCCTTTTTTACTTTCAAGAAAAATGCAATTAATCTCTGCATGCAAGTTCTTATCCAGTTCAGAGATCTGTTAACACAACCATGTACTATAAACATTTTTCTATTTTCCTAACATTCCCCTCCCTTGGTTTAAGACATTAGATTTGTTTCTGAAAGAAATAAAGTTTACACTGTTTATTTACTTAATTAAAAGCATTTAGTTAGAAGCAAAGAGATTTGTTCCATTTTTCCCAGGATTTTCTGCAAAAACTTTACAGTGATTTAAAAATAATAATAAAAAAATGTTAGGCTACCTTCACAGTGAAATAATTTTATTACTCATCCTGATGATCTTGAATAGATTGTATTTTGTAGTTAGATGATTATTTGGTAGAACAGTGCTAATACATGGCCAGCAGGCTTGTGGCATTTCCTTTATCCATGTTTATTACAGTAGAGGCTGGAAAAAAGGTAATTAGATTTTTAGGCAGTATTCATACAAACTCACCTCCAGGTACAGGCATCTTCAGATTTACTGGGGAATTAAAAACTGAGCTAATAAGCAAGAAGGACTATTGTATGTATCCTAGGCAAAAAGTAATTAAGACTATTACATGTTAGGGGGATTAAATATTTAAAAAGCAACAGTGTGTCAGTGCTTTAATTGTTAGTTTGAAAAAGTTATTGGTTTGGCAAAGTGAAGGGTCTGATACTTCAGTGCAATACAATGCATTTCATTTTCATTTACGTTCATTTTGAAAAGAAGCAAATCCATCAAAAGCCTGATGAGACTGCAGAAATAAATGATGAACTGTTGCCTTTGCCACCATTAAGCTTTACTCCTAGAAGGACTGCTGGAGGCTACTTTACATTTCATCTATGATGGGAAATGCAAAGCAAAGCTAACACCTATTCCTTTTGCATCTGAGTGACGTTTCAGGAATAAACGCGTAATGTACTGCTGCTTCAGCTATTGCAAATCAGTAGGGTTAGCCCTTGTGCCTTCTGCTGGAGCTATGGGACAGTTTCAATTGCATCCATGCAAAGGTAGAACAAACAAATGCCCCATTATTTTCCTTGTCAGAAAGTTAGGGTTGCAGGGATAGGAAATGCCTCTATGAGCAATTTCATTCAATCCAGATAATTTTTCCCATTCTAGAGGAACACAGCATTACCCATCCTGATATCGAATAGCTGCCTTTTATAGTCACTTAGCCTGCCCATGACTTCTCTCTCCTGATCATATTAAAGAGGTTTGTGAGGCATTTTGAAATTTGCAAAAGACACATCAATAAAGAAAGCATAGCTGGTTCCTGACAAAGTCATTGTTGAGATAATGTTTATTAAAGTTTCATTTCAGCTAAATTGCGGACAGTTCTGTTCACAAAGTGCTAACATAAAAAGAGGTGAGGAGAATAGTGGCATATGCACATACATGTAAGATGATCTGGCCCTTAAGATGATTTCGACAAAACGATTTTTCTTATTAGAGTCAATAAAGTCATCAGCTAGCTGATCATGACTAGACTGTCAATGATTTTCCAAAATTTTCAGGTTATGTTTTTTCCTATTCTTTTTTTAGATGAGGGGCTGAAATTTGGATCTTCTGCATGCACTTTTATCATTCAACTATTTATCACCCCACTTCACGTATCATCCTAAACTGCAACAGCAAAAGGAAGTAACAGGGAACACAATGATGAAAAGCGTAAGGACCCTCTCCCTTGTCACTTCTCCACTACTCTTCATAATACAGTGAAACCTCATTTTATTGAATCTCAGTGCAACAGACATTGCATTGGAGGGTGCATGGGGGTGCACGAGTGGCCGGCACAGTGTGAGCGCAGAGGGGCAAGTATAGGGTGCATGGGTGGGGGAGACTTACCTCAGCAATTTGCAACCTTCCTTGCTGGCTTCCCCACTGACTTTCTGGGA